TGAAGTCACTTCACAATTCAGAAGCATCACCCAGACCTACTGATGGATTTATTTTGTGGCTGCTAAGAATGCTATCATCCCCAGCCTTCTTCCTCCACCAGGTAACCTTCTGTGACAGCTTGGATGAACTTGCACATCCAGGGAATCTGGGTCATTTATTAGTAGCTACAAGAATCTGTGCCAGAAAATCCACATGATGATGGTCAGGGCAGGAACATCAATATGGAAAAGCAGGAACACAGATTTGCAAAGGTTTTCTTACCAACCAGTCCATCCTGTGTGATCTCAGGCAGATGTGTCATGTAATCCTGCTTTTAAATTCCCTGCACCCTACTTTAAAATTAGTCAGGGGTTTTTGTGCACTGTTTTTATCAGCAACCCTCTCTGAACATTCAAATATGGGATTTTTCTGCTTACTGAGACTTCAGCCTTATGCAGAATGTCAACTAGCCTGGAGTAAGAACGACTCAAAAACACCTGCAAGGCTTTCAGTGCAAATCCCTGACCTTTATCTAAGAACTCACTATGTAGAAAATGCTTTCTGATGGTGTTTGCTGATGCACTTTTTCCTACAGGCCAAACACACAGAAGGGCTCAGGGAAGGGTGACTCCATAGCTCTGCACTCTGCAGCTGCACAGGAACATTGCAAAATTCACAGCTGGCAGCTCCCACCTGAGACCAGCCCTTGCTGATTCCCACCTGAGACCAGCCCTTGCTGATTCCCACCTGAGACCAGGCCTTACTGATTCCCACCTGAGACCAGTCCTTACCATCCCCACCCTGCTTCTGGCTCTGATTCACCCAGTGGGACCCCAGCCCAGACAGGTCCTATGGGATCCAGGTGAACCCAAGCTGAGGGAAAATGCTGGTTTAGTCCTCTTCACAGTTTCTTTATTACATTTCCAATATCTCTGGTTCTTTATCTCTCATTTTTATATTACCTTTAGCATGTTGCAGTGGATATGATGAGAGGACTAATCCCTAATTACCACACAACTTTTCAGCACTTGAATTTTTTAACAACAAGACAGAGCTGACTCAAATCAAAACCCTTCAGTGGTCCTAGGACAACTGAGACTACTGCATTCTATGTTCTACATAAAGAAATTCTTGCATAAGCCCCACAGTCTGGCAGCCAGCCTCCACTGCTTGTGCCATGAGCTCTTTTTCTATGCAGTTGCTGCAGTCTGTATCATTGCTCTGAAAGCATGGCCTGGACAGTTAGATGTATACAAAGAGCTGCAAATAGAAAGAAAGAGCTCACATCCCTAGAAATGCATCCAAGAAGGGAGTGTACTGTGGTCAAATGGTGTGCCAAGCCTCAAAAGCAGTGCTTCTTTGGGGATGTGTTCTTGTTACAAAGCAGAGTTTAGCTTTTTGGTCTTGCACAGCATTTGAAGATATTTTGTGCTTCCTCCTACCTGAAAACTTCTCAGGGTAAAGATTTTCTCATGTCCTGTGTTTAGAAGTCCACGGTGTGAAAGGATTGTGATAGAAGGTAGACTTAATTGAGTTGGGATTGTATGAAAGAAGGAGGATGAACAAGTAGCAAACATCAAAGAAAGCCCCTATAGTGTCAGGGTACAAAGTTAGCCAGTAGAGCACTTGTGAAAAGGCTCAAAATATTCATTAAACACAAACACTACAAGAGCCATTCTTTTTCTTCCAGCCTTTTAATGTGACAGAGAGAACAAAAACAAAGTCCATTGGAACAGCTGCAATTTCCAGTGACGACCAGACACAGAGCAAATAAAAAAATAAAAGGAGGTTTTAAATGAAGAAAAGGAACCAAGGGACTGGAATTGGCTATTTCACACACTGAGTTGACAGAACATCTAAATGAAACTTTCCATTACAGCACGACACCGGGTGATATTTACAGTGGAACTTGCAGTGTGTGTACATTTATACAGCACTAGCATCACATACAGCAAAGAAATTAATTTCATTTTGTTTCCTTCACAGTTCCCAGGCTTGATTCTTCCTAAAAGCAGCATTTGCTAATAGAAGGGTAAGAAACTGAGGGAACAACTTAATGCAAAATAAAATACATTGGGCTCAAATCTACATAAACCTAAAAATATCCTCTCAGATTTTGTAACTCCTTTGGAAAGTCAAAGGACATAAGCAGGTAATATAAGAGGACCAAGGGCCTCCTTAAGAGCATTAGAGTATACTCTGCTGTTGGAGATCTCCAAGCAGGACCTGGATGAGACCTGGAATCTGCAGAAAGCTCAGCTCCATGCAGTCCTGCTCTGTGCCCTTGTGTGAAGCCAGCCTTGGGGCTGGACCACTCCCAGACTTGGGGAGCATCCCTCAGTTCCTCTCCAGCATCACTGAAGGACATCAGGATGCTTGAGCACTTCCCAGTGTGCAGACCCTCTGTCACTGGATATGGGTTTTCCAAGACTGACCCGCTTCATAGTCCAAAAGATCCAAAACACCACCATTTGTAAGTCCCATAGCATTTCAAGAAATTTCAAAGAGTGATGCTAATATGGGCAAGGGGGGGATCACCACACCCAGCACAAGCTGCAGCCACCACCTCTAGCATGTAGCAGAGCCAAAGGCAGTAACAGGAGCTGTCCTGCACAGCTGGAGTAAATAAACCACAATACCACAACCTGTTGAATCAACAGGGAACACAAAGAGGCAGAACTCTTATTGTAATACTTCTGGTCATTAATAGTAGTGTCAACAGTGCTTGGTGTTCCAGCCTGTGTCTGCATGCTCAGAAATTCAGCAAGGGACTCCTCCCATTACAGTGCTGTAGAGCTGAAATCACAAAGCCACAGCAGCCAGTTTGGGTTCCCTACACTCACCTTTCCCATGCCACAGTGTCCCTGGCTAAGTGGCTGTCCTGCTGTGCCACACGTGCATGAGGAGATCCAGCTGTCTTCCAGAAGAGATCTTTGGGATTTAAGGCAAGTTCCCTCTGTGTCCCTGTTGCAGTGAAGTTCACAAATCCATGGAAATGCTGCTGTGCAGAGACCATCAGGGGAGCTGTGGTCAGCAGATTTCTCCGTGGATGGTCCAGTGTATCCAAGACAGAGACAGCCCCCATGGGCAGGGGAACTGGGGGAGGAGATGTGCTGGCCCTTGAACAGCAGGGGCAATGTTGATTTTACAGCAGAAATTAAGCTGAGCCATCAGAGGAGGTGCCTGAGGAGAAATCTTCCCTTGCTTGAGGCTCAAGGATCCGTGACTGAGGCTAAGCCTAGCAGGTGGCCAAGGCTTGAAACTGAGCCCAAAACAAACCCCAGCCAGTGAAGAGGGGTCTGCACCCAAGCTGCTGTTTTGCTCTGGAGAGCAGCAGTGTGACACCTCCACTGATTTACACCATGGCAAGGAGAGCAAACAAACACATTGGGAATATTGACTAAGCCTGTCCCCACTGAACTGGGTGGGAGATATCAGCCCAGGTGTCACAAATGCAATGCCTGAGCTGGAGCTGCTGCCCTGGATCTCTCTGTCCCTGAAGAAGCAGGACTGTCCAGGGCAAGCCATCTCCAGCTCAGCACAGGGCCTGGGCAGGGTCCCACACATTCCCTCTGCCTTTCAGCTGGGAATGATGACAATCCATTATTAATTAATGACAATCCATCCAGTCCAACCCTAGGTGTCTCAGCTCGGTGATGGGAGCTCTCCTCAGCTTTTCCTTTCTTCCTTCTCTGCTCACTCTTGTCCTTTATCTCAGGCTCTCCTAAGCCAGCTGTGCTGTGTGTTTGCTCTCCCTGTCGGGTCACAAACTCCCTGGTAAAGCCAGGGGCAGGAGCCTTGTCCCCACATGTGCAATATCCCTTAGCCCTCGAGTGACTGACACATGGATTTTAGGGGTGCAAAGAATTTCCAGGTGACATTGACCATGAGATCCCATTACTCTTTACCTGGTCCCAGATAGTCTGTGAGGTGAGGTTCAGCAGCCTGTGAAAGAGCCATTTTGTGAGGAATAAAGGTTTCTAATATTGGATATTATTTCCTAATATTACCTTGCCATTTCTATCTCCTCATGATTTCAGTTTCTTCCTTCTCTGGAAATTAACAGGGAAGTTTTGCAAAATAAATGATGTCATTAATGTCACTGCAAAATGTCAATGGAGAACACAAACAGTCAAGTTTGCTGTGAGCATTGGGTGACATGTAAATAGGAATGTTATGCAAAATAAATATTTAGATAAATAGTTTCTAGCTCCTCAGAGCTGCACAAGCGAATAGTCCAGAAAATGAAACAAAATTTCTCCCCTTCTGTCCAGTTGCAATGTGGTAATTGCCAAGCACAGCCCAACAAAATGGATGAAACCTAAAGGTCATAGTGACCTTTTGTGTTAAAATACATATTTAAACTGTTTCTCATCATGCAAAAGGACCAGATATTCTTAGAGAAAAAACTCACATTCTGGGCTGTGATTCTGAGCAGAAGCTGTGAACTGCTGCCAAAGGACATAATTACATTCACTCCTACCTTAGAGAAGGAACCTTGCTGTTTTGAAGACAAATAGAGTAAATAATAATAAAAAAAGCCTTAAGCTACCCATAAAATGAAGAAATGAGGCATAATAAGCTCGGTTACTACAGCAGCTTGTGATTTCATTAATTTCATAAACCTCAGAATAAAGGTCAAAAATCTCAAACAGCCCATTGTAGCCTAGCTGATCCGTGAGTGTTTATCCCTGATTGACACAATGATAAAAGTGATGCTCATTAGAGGCTTTTGCCTCATTGGCAAGGATTTGCTGCTTGTGGTCTAACCCTGCTGTGTCCTTCAGCTGCCCCTGCAGCAGCACCACGCTGAGTCCCACAGCTGCAGCCTGGGCTGGCCCTGGTGCCAGCCAGCCTAAGTGCAAGGGGCTGTGCCTGTGCAGCCAAAGGCAAGGGTGTGAGATCACTCCTGCAAAATCTCAGCCTAGCCTTTCTTGGTTTTCTTAAAAAACAAACAACAAAAAAATCACCAAAAAAGCGAAAATAAACAAAAACCAACAAAGAAGATCCAACAAGCCTTTCTTGGTTTTCTTAAAAAACAAACAAAAAAAATCACCAAAAAAGCAAAAACAAACAAAAACCAACAAAAGGTAAATGAGAAGATCACCAGCAAAAGTACAAAAGAACTTTTTTATGTCACAGAATATCCTGGTTGACAAATTAGCTGCACTATGTGGTGGTTTCAGATCAATTCTGGTCTGTTGCTGAGCTCGTTGAAAGGGTATAATTAGTGTTATCTCATCCATTGTGAGCACTGGTGTGTTATTGAACAGTGTCTTTTCGTTCTGGTTTCCCAAGAAAACACACCCCAAAATGCACAACTCACTTTGCCTCTAGGTGCAACAGGACTTAACTTGAGTGATAAAAAGGGCACACGAATTTCAGAAATGTTCTCTACAGGATACCAAACTAAACTGTGCCACTTAATGGGGAATTTAATGTTCTGTACAGTGAAAGCTTGCTGTGTGCATTCCCTGTGTAACAAGGTTAAATGGCTTTAAGTAACTGTGCTTACAGTGTTTCAATGAGACCCAAGTATATTAGAAAATCAAGCATCATATTCTTCAAATAATATGGCTAAAATGCTGGTAAATTCACAGTTACCATTCTCTAGGTATTAGGCAAAAATCCCCTATTTACACTGGATAATATGTACACATTTGGTTTGTGGAATGCTCCAATATCATATCGATTTCTCCTCTGTGAAAGCTGTAAGGAAAAAACCCTCTTAATCATTATAGAAATATATATTCCCAGCCACTAATACATTTAAATATTTGGTATCTGGATGTAAAGAACAAAGTGTTACTAAATTGGTCATGACTCCTGATAAACTTGAATTACTGGGATTTGTTTTTAGTGTCACTCTTAAAGTCCTCTTAAGGGTGCAGGAATTAGAAATCCTAAATTTTAATAGTTGATCACTTCAATGGGTGTACGTATGTTTGCAAGTAGGTGTAAATACATATATATATATATATAATTATTTAGATATTTCTCTTCCACAGCAAGAAGGTGTCTAGTGATTCCCTGTGCCCAAGTGAAGACAGTAAAGGGCTTTGAAGCTCTGAGTCTTCTGAGACAGCCGAGCACCCATCTTCACATCCTCAAGAAACCAGGAGTGGTAATCCCAAAATCAAGACAGCTGGGGCCCGTGGCCACATCTGCAACTCTCAGCCCTGTTGCTGGAACTCGCCTAGAGCAGGCTGGTTACCTGCCCTCCCCGGATGCTCCGTGTGTCTGAGCACAGCTGAGGTGGATGGCCAGGCAGGAGGGTCGGGTCTGTCCTCCCGTGTCACACCCACGCGGGCACGGAGCCGCTGCCTGCCTCTGGTGTCCTTGCAGGGGATGGACAGGGACAGGGGGGCTCCCAGCATAGGCAGGGTGGAACCCAAGCTCTGCCAGGGGTGTGTGGGGGCTGCATGCACCAGCTGTGGCTGTAATAAGGTCAGGAACGATGGTTTTGTTTAAATCCCTCCGGGTTCCTCTTTCCCTCTGCCGTCTTGCTTTGAGGTATCGACAGAACAGTACAGAATGAATGTTTTCAGTTTTCCAGACATGGCTCTTTTTTGTTCTTCTTCTACATCTGCCCCCCCACAAGCCCCCACGGCCTCTGTTGCTCACATCAGGACCTGCTCTCGAGTCTCTGGCAGGCGCAGAGCCAGCAGGCCACCTCCAACCAGAGCGGAGGAGGCCAGAAGGATGGGAACCACCTTGGTTATCCCCACGAAGGAGGAGAAGATGGAGTTCCCCAGGATGGCACCAAACTTGCAAAGCCCATTGAGGATGCCAAAGGCTGTTGCCCTGTGGGGAGGAAAAGCAGAAAGTGATGGTTAGGAGGCAGGTTCTGGCACAGCTACAGAAGGTTTGGATGGGTAATTTTGTGAATGTTCTTATGTTGCCTGGGCTATGCTTCTAGCAAGTAAAACTGGGTGGAATAAATAAGTAGATAAATAGATGCAGCTGTTTTGCATGTCTGTGTGAATGGGAAGAATCTCTGTGTGCACTAATTTCTCCTTTTCATCTCACCTTCTCCCTAGAGTGGCCCACTCTGTCAGCCTTTGCCCTCCCCAAAGACAGCAGGACAAAATCTGCTCTAGATCTCCTCAAATCTCTTCCAAGGGCTGCCTGGACTGGGTTGTCATCAGAGAAGAAACCACAGCTCTCCTCTAAATCCCATTTCACCCAGCAGCTAAATGACAACTACCTCTAATGTACAACTACCTCTCCCTCATTTCTGGCTTCCCCCAACAGTCCGAAAAAGGCAAAAAAGGGGCTTATAATGATGAGGGGAAAGGTTTAATCCACAGGACATCGTCCCAGAGTCTTCTTCCTTGTGTCCCAAATCATTCTGTGTACATGGTTTTCTCCAGGTTTTGGATGGGAGGGCTGCCCCACAGATGAGCCATGATGAGAGGATGGGGATGCAGTGTGAAACATGCAACCTCCATGCACATCCGTGGAAATTACAGAGTACTGCTTTCATTTGGTGCTTTAGAACTAGTTGATCTTTAAGGTCCCTTCCAACCCAAACCATTCTTTGACATCATGGTTCTATGATTCTTTGATTTATCATAATTTCCCATAATTTCCATATGTCCACGTGATCCCTGTGTTCAACCTGCCACACATGTAGAATTGTGCTTGCAAATGTCTGTTCTGACCCAGGATCAAACACCCCAAAGGACTGGTGAAAGCAAAATAAATAAAAATACAGAGCTCCCCCACCTACACGTCTCTAGAACACCTTTTTCCCTTGGGGACCAAGAGGACCAGGTAGAGGGTGGAATTAGAGGAGAAGTGTTCTGAGCACCTTTTGTCCGTGGGGTAGAGCTCCACGGTGATGACGTCCAGGGCGTTCCAGGCGGCGATGCTGGCCCCGCAGAAGAGGCACTGCCAGCCGATCATCGCCGACTCGCTGTTCCCGAAGAACAGGAAGAAGCAGCACACGGCTGAGATCAGCATTGAGCCGCCTGCAGGGGGAAAAACCAACAGAAAAATGCTGGCACTGGCTTCCCCTGTCCGCAGCTGAGCAAACACTTTTGTTAAAGATGGCTTTCAAGTGGTGGCGTTTCGTCCCAATCAGTATTAAATCCTTGAGGATCCAAAAATACCTTGATGCCTTTCTGTCGTTCTCTGATGCTGGAAGCCAGCCTGATAATATTCTCAATGCCCACCTGATCTTGCTGATAGTCCTGCTCTACAAAGACTGTGAAGTCAGGCATTTCCAGGCAGGCTTCCAGCATCTCAGACTTCCAGATGGACCCAGGAAGAGCAGAGGCAAGTAAACATGAAAGTCAGTGAGGAGGAAGCATCATTGTGAAGGTTTTTCAACCTGAGTTTCAAGTGATAGGCTTGTGCATTTCATATCGTATCACTTGACACATTTCTAGTCCCAATTAGGATAATTTACAGTCACTTGTATGAAGCACTTGAGGTCTCTTTTAATTATAAGAACATCATTAGATTTCATGGCACATTTGCACAGGAGCCATAATTTTATGAACATCACCGAGGGAGAAAGTGAGAGCATTCATGCTCAGTTAGGCACAGTTCAGATTCAGAAATATTAATAGCTACATCACTGCTTTCTACCCCATTGGGAAATTTCAACAGAAAGTTGAAATTTGGGAAAAATCAAACCATTTTTCACCAGAATGTTCTGTTATCACTGAAATATCTCCATTTATTACCAGGAAAGCAAACAATTTTCTCTATTGTTTGGTAGTTTTGGAGTCAATTTAGTGCCATCCAAAATAATTTGGATGCTGAAGTGTAACTAAAATGCTTCAATTTGGACATTATTTTGCATCTTACCACTGTAGTGGCCTGCCTATGAAAAGCTGCTGTGCAGGACTCCTTGTCCACTTCTCCTCCATGGTACAAGGCCAGACTACATCCCCACAGTGTGATGTAGATATTTCCCCTGCTGCAAAAGCCCAGCTCAGCACTGGTGAGGGCACCAAGAGATCTGCTTTGTACAAAAGAAGGTTTGGCAGGACGTGATAAAAATTAATTGAAGCCCCACCGAGGCACACAACACAAAGGAGAAATTCAGTTTTCCTGTTAAGCTGACCAGAAATAATATGTTCGACAGAGTGATACAGGTGGGATGCCAGAAGGCTCTTTCAGTTGGAAATTCCATAGTGAAACGTTTCAGCATGTCATTACTAATTTTTGTCCTGTTCTCTGCTTTTTGCAGGAGAAATAAGCATTTAGGGCTCCAGCTGTCATCTCAATTCCAGATGAAAATGCTGAAATACTGACATGTTTGCAGGATGGACAATGTGATTTTCATTCAGCTTCCTCTAATTTATTTCTCACAGACCCTCTGGCGTGTTTGGGTCTTTTTCAAATTCACATGAATGCTCATTTTCCCTCAGTGTAAATTCCTGAGACAGTCATCTTGCTCTACTTTAACCTGTCTGAAGGTGAGGTTGAGCTAAACCTTCCCTCTGTTCTCACAGGAGAGAGAAGAGCTCAAGAGAGTGATTCATGCCTTACCCCTGAGCCACATCCCTGATTTTATTACCTTCCTTTGGCTCTCCCCCAGGGCATCATTCCCATATCATGGGATGAGAGCAACGTCTGAACCCTGGAGGCTGCAACACCAGCAATTCCCAAAGTATTCATAAAGCTGATAAGGCGATAACTTGATAACTTATTCCCAGGATGCTAAAGGGTGGCTTCTTTCTTGGCTGTGACATGGTCAGTCAATTTACCATATGCTCTCTGAAGCTGCTTGTGCAATCATTTGAAAATCAGATAAAAAACCAAAAGAGGGAACTCCTAGGCTGTCAAGCTGCCACATCAAATAACTTTTGTGAATATTCATTGCTACAAGCAAAATGTTCATTTATTTATACACAGGCTTTGGACTTCAGCAGCAACTCTACAGGACCAAGAGGTCCTTTTTTAGCTCTGACCCTGATTTGCTGAACACTGCAAAAATATGCTGGATTTGACACAAAAGGCAAAATTAAAAAATAATTTAAAAAAAGATACTACAGACACACAGAAAAGCAGGGTGGGGAGGAGGGGAGTAGGTCAGTTGCTCACTGCCATGGATCACCTGCCTCACCCTCTAGTCTTTATCCTTCTGCTCCTTTTGTTTTGGGGACGACTCATTCCCACCAGAGCCATGCCAGCAAGCAGAGCTCTTAGCAGGGGTGTGCTCCAGCCTGTCCTGCCCCATCACCCATTGCCCCCACTCACCAATCATCTTTATCCTCCCGATTTTGTCCATGAGCAGAGCAGAGATGATGTTGCCTGGCAGCACAGACAGGCTGCCCAGGAAGCTGACCAGGTAGATCAGAAAATCATTGTCCTCCTCAAAGTCGATGTGGCAGCCTTCCTTCTCCTTCATGAAGGTGCTGTTGATGAGCCTGCAGTTGATGAATTTGTGTTCGTAGAGATCTGTGAGGGAAAGAGGCAAAGGCTTGACCCTGCTTGGCTGAACTCTCCTCACACAACAGCAAGTACCAAACCAAAGACCCAAGAGAAGTTTCTCATCCAAAGGAAATGGCCAGGGAGTATTTATTTCAATGGAAATTTATTAGAATGGCAAAGTCTAGCTGAATCTTTGGCTCCTGGTAAATGCAAGGTCATAAACTGATTTTATTTGTGGAGTATACTCAGTATACTGAAGCAGTATCCCCATGCCACAAGGACAGGGCAATGCAGGCTTTGGTTTTCATAGCATAATAATTTGTTCTTTATTAGAGTAGAAGTTAAGAGCTTTCTTTGGTATAAATTAGTGACTATTTTACTGCTGATGATCTTCAGCTGCCGGTGGCTTGAAATTATATTTTTACTGAGTAGAGCTGTAAAGTGCTGAGAATTTTGCCATTACTTTAACCTGTCAGGGCCTGAGGCACAGAATTTTGCATTTCCCATACAGTACCCAGAGACACCAGAAGTCACGGGGTTAAAATCACTGATGGAGCCACCTGAGGTCTCCTTCCAAATGCATGACACCCTTTTCCTCCAGCATCACTCTCATTACCCAGCACGAACTCAAAGACATAGATCCCTACCATCCCTTCTCCCAGAAAGCAGATAAAAGAGTTCTAATAAAGTAGTGTTCTGATAAAAAAAAGTTCCTAGTTACAGAGACGACTGCAGCAGGAGTTCCATTACCAGTGTTATAAAAGACAGTAGAGATGATGGTGCAGTTTTCAAAGAAGGTCTCACTGGATCTCACATCTTCAAAGTAGCAATCCTCAAATAATGAATCCTCAAATCTCACTTCCTTGAATTTCATGCCAATAAATCTGTGGGGCAGAAACAGAACTTCACTCTGTGTTTTAAGATATTTTCTACACTGTATAGTGTGCAGTGGCTGTGTCAAGAGACAGAGCACTAATTCAAATTTCTAGCGTCATTTACAGAAAAGGTGTTGCTTGAATGCATAATTCCCTCCAGATCCTTCTGTGTTTTATTATAAGAGAAGGGTCTGAATAGTATTTTTTTTTTAAAGACATGGATCTTTTACGATTTGTGCAGTTTTTCTTTTCTTCAAAATAATCACATCTGAGAAAATGTGCTTCTAAAGCTGAGGGGACACAAATCCTCTCATGTTCAGTCCTAATCTGTCTGAAGATGACAGAATTCCACTCAATGCAGGGTATTTCCTTCATGAGCTGACCTTGCTGCCTTCCTTAGTCTCCCCCTTCCTCCATCATAAATAAAACCAGACATTATCAGGAGCCTATTGAGCCATTTGGTGAAAGGTTTCTGACAGTTGTTTAAACTCAAAGTGATTTTTTAAGTGAAAATGCAGTAGGGATTCTGGAGAGAGTGGGAAGATTATCTGAGTTCTGCTTGTAATCATCTCTGTTTGAGGTTTATTACTTATCATGTAATGAAAACAGATTTCACTAAAAATAATAAACTGTGTCAGGTGATTGATTTCTCCTCTGATGGGAAGCGTGACATGTCTGACCTGGCTGCCTGAAGGATGACACAATATTGATTTACCTGTGAGATTCTGCAGGAACACTGAGAAGATGTATTAGGTAATGCACAGACACGTTTAGAAGATGTAAGGAGCTATTAGGAACAAGCATTATTGCTCCAGTTAAAGAGGCCATGACTGTCACCAGATGAAAAAAAGCCTTCTAACATATACTCTGCAGCTTAATTGAATTGAGCACTTTTAACACAGCGTAACGTGATGGTTGTTTACACCTTTAAATGAGCACTGCAGGGCTTCTTGACTGAGCCTACTAACAGAAATTATTAATGCACAAAACACCACAAGAAGATTATTCAAGTGTTTTGCTCCATGTAGAGGGTCTCACAGGTTACAGCAAAATTTAAGCTGTTCTGCATTTGCTCAGTGATGCATTTACCTGTGATGTATTTACTCCCAAAAGCTGTTAAAACCTGTTTTCCCCCTGCAGTTTTCTTTCTTAACACCCAACTTCAGAAGACTCAGAGAGCAATGGCTGGTGCTCCATGGAGTTTTAGCTCACAGCCAAGGGCTGCAGAACAAACACAGCTGTAAATCATACTGAGATAATTTCTGGGCATTACTGCAATTTAGCTTGATGAGGTTTTGAGTATTTGAAATGGAGAGGGCCAAGGTAGGAGAGTACTGATTTGCACCACAGTTTTATGTCTTCATCCAGCCAGGTGCTGAATATCCTTAATTCTCAATGGAGTTAGTGAAAATTTAGTGCCTCCTCTAGGCATAAAAAAATATGTCCCCAATGCCTAAATTTGACCAGCATCCACTTCTCACCACTTTATTTTGAACAGGAATTGTGGGGCTAGGTTTGCATCATCAAGCTCAGCTCCTTGTTGCAGGGAAGGTGTATGGAAGGACATGAGGACACATGCTGGGATCCCCCACCAATGTATATCAAATATATAACAAGGAAATGGTTTCTGAGGGGATTGGAACAACCTGGCTGGGCAATGAGATGTGGTTTCAGCTGTGAAGATTAAAACAATGAGTGTTTTGTGTAACACTGAACATGGGGAGGAGCTCCCTCCAGCAAGGCAGCTGGAGCAGCATCCTGTTAGGGCAATGAGATCACAGAAATTACAAAGGGATATTTTTCCTTTTTATTGAGATTTTGAATAGTAGTAATGGAATGACCAGGATTTACACTGCTGTGGAACATAGAGTGATTGGTGTCCAGGCTGGACATAGAAGAAAAAACAAGGCCAGCCCAAATAGAAGGAAAAAGGAAGGAAAACAATGATGTTCTGCTGGAGCAAATGCACTGACTTCAAAACAACAAAAGAGAAGGTGACTCACTCATCTGTGGGGAGATAGTGACTGCAGTGGGAGAAGCACCCCAGCATGGCCATGGCCCAGCTTGCACTAAAGGGCTGCAGGACAGAGACTGGGGTAATTCATATTGAGGACTTCAAGAAGAACTATCTTTTTATTTTGGAAACACAGCAGCAATTTCATTACCAGTGGCTGCCCAAGCCCAGTAGATGTCAGTGTGGGCTAAGGAAAAAGAAGTCATCTCTGCATCCAGGGCTGCCCAGCACGGCCAAGTGGGCATTTGCTGCCCTGATCCCAACACAGGGCTGCTGGAAGCAGGACTGCTCTCAGGCATCCCCTGGGTTCTGAAGAAGTCGGTGACAGAGGCAATGTAGGTGGGAAAAAGGATTAAAATGATATTTTGTCTGTCAAAAACTGCCTCTGGGACTTGAGAGATTTAGATTGAGTGTCCAAAAGAACAACAGAGGAGTTCAAGTTGATGGAAAATGGAAAAGAAAGAAAGAGCTTTCTAGAAATTTATTTGTTTGAATACATCAAAGCAAATTCTGTTCACTTACTTGTCATTCCTGTACTCCCCATTTCTATGGATCTGGTTTTCCAGGGTGAAATTAAAGGTGAAATGGGACACTTCTTCCTCATCAAAGATCTTCACTCGGGATTCATATGCCTCGTCTTGGAAATAGCGGATCATGTCAGGGAACCAGACAATAAGGCCATAGTAACTGCAGCAGGATTGGGAGACACATCAGGACACACGATTCTTCCCAAGATCCACTTCACAGCTTGCAAACTTGTTAAACTCCAAATGTGAAGGCATGCCTGACACAAATTCTTGCTCGGTTCTGGCACAGGACTGAGCAAAGTGTTTCTGCACTCTAAGCACCCCGCTGATCTCTGGAGCATGTTGGTCCAATCCCCTTCACTTGAAGCAGGACAATTCATTTCAGTTCCCCTTGGCTGGGGAATACAGAAATGTGCTAACCTTGCTACTCATTAAATTAGCAGCGAATAAACAAACTGGGCTGATTTCTATAAGTGTGCAATTCAAGTGAAAGTTAGACAAAATTTACCTGTAGTTTAGATTTAGACTCCCCTGAGTGGTTTTGATCTAGACTAAGGAACAGCTGAGAGTCTGGTAGGGTTGTGTCTTTTTTTGTGTGTGTGGACAAGATCAAATGAAAGATCAAAAGGTGAGAAAGTCAATTAATTACTGTGCTACCAACCACTTCTCAAGTCCTGATTTGCTCAAAGCACCTTGTACTTCATATAAAGCAGTCAGATTGATCAATATTTGTAGGAGAGCAAAGCTTAGTTCGCAAAGACTCTTTAAAATAAGACCAGGATTAATTTTGTAATAGTTTATTTACATGTTTAAATAACTATTCAGACTCTGAATAGTGCTTTAGTTTCCTGAAAAATATAAAGAAGTATCTTCCTTACCTTAAGGCCATTGTAAACCAAACCACAGCCAGCATCAGTGTGTTCATCCTGTACTGGGCTGTTAAACAATATAGCACGTTGTCCCAGACCTACAAATCCACAAGAAGGAATTAACTGCCAGGACACCCCAGCAGACACTTGACAGCTTAATTTCTGAGTGCATCATAAACGTAATGTCAGAAAAATTGGTTCATTAGAGAAAGGTCAGATGTGTGGCGTATATTCAGTGTTTTTTCAAAATTATATTTATCGAGTAAATGGCTTACAAAAAATCACTTATTCAGCTCAGTGCCAGAGTACTTGATCTGAGCCCTCTGTAATGAGCTGGAGTGCATGATCAGGGCTGGGTATGAGGCAGTGTCTCTCTCAGGTTATATCAGCAAATGTGAATATGAGATTGTTCTCAGACCCTCTGACAACTTTATCTTTTCAAATATATGTATGGTGTCAGGAGTGCTTTCAAACTGAGATCAAAAGCTCTCTGAAGAGCAAAAGCCCAAACACAGCTGGCACTTCAGGAGGTATGAGATGAAATCAGGTAGGGATGAAGCCAAGCAGGAGGCAAACCAAGATCTGCTCTTGACTCACTGGAGAATATGGTGCCAAGAACATGAGGGGATGTTATCTTGACATGTAAGTATAGTAATAGTATAGCACCTGCATTGCTATTAAGAACTTTCCTTTGTTTTCAGCTCATCCTTCAGGATCAGAAGTTCTAGTAAGGTTTTCCACAGTCCTACATGGGCATTAGGTGAGCAGCATAGCAGGTGTGAAGGGTTAAATTAGCCTAGGAGACATTATAGCATTCTTAGAAACTTGGTCTCAGCAAGAACAAAGAGCAAACACTCTGCCTTCACTGCAGGTGGTAATTTCACTTAGGCTTGGGGAGAGAGAATCAATATTTATCTGCTCAGGAGGAGAGCCAAGCGCCTGGGGCTGTGGCTCTCCTGGAAGCTCTGCACTGCTGGATGACAGTGATGCTCACAGGGGCATTTTGGGGCCTGCTGGCAGCATGGCAGCTTGCAGGGGCACACATCTGCACAGAAAGTGCAGTCAGATTTCAGCTCTTTGTAAAAACCAGATTTTCTGAGGTGAGAGTCAGGGTTTCAAGGTGCAATGATCTGAAGCAAAGAGGCACTGGAGCACTGTGTGAGGTTTTTTTCTTCTCTTTACCTGTTTTAATGTAGTCGTGATTCTGACCAGCCACCGCTGGTACCAGGTCCCTGTTGAGCTCTGGATTTCAATAAATTCATCTACTTGCTTTGGAGTTTTGATATAGGAAACCTGGAGAAAAAAAAAAAAAGAAAAAAAAATTGGACTGCAGTTTCTAGAATTGATCTTGGGTGGATTTAAATTCCACTGTCTTCTGGGCAATGTTTCCACCTAATAACCCCTATTATTTTTTCCTTGAAAGTTAATTAGCAATTGAGCTCATTGATTTAATTACAGCAAGATACTATTAACAGAAATAAGCCTTGCTTCCTTCTTTTCACCTATCCCTTCATCCCGTCTCTCTCTCTACTCTTCCATGAAATATTTAAAACATGTATATCATGTATATTATAATCATATAATATCATGAAGTCCACTTCAATCTTTCATTTGCTGGCTAATGTACCTGCATAGTACCTTATTTCTCTATCTTCAGATTCCCACTACAAATTAGGACTCAGAAAGTACAGTAAAAATTATCTCTAAGATCAGCCACTTGTACCCAAACTGTGCAGATTTCATTCTTCTAAGACAACTAGCAGGAATATTTCTCATTCAATATCTTTTAAATGCCACTGACAGAACTTCTATGATAAATGATTGTGTAGATGGGAATCTTTGCAGCTGAAAATGTATCCTGCCATCAAGTGAGCCCACACAATGCAATCAGTTTTCTTCACCAAAAGAATCTGAATTTTCACTGCTGAATACCTGAACTGGACTGCTCAGGAAAACTTACAAATGTATACCAGTAAATATTTGCTTAGTAAATTTAATTAAAGGACATTTTCAAGGAAAACAGAACTGTTTGTAAACACATGGAGGAGGCGAAAATCTGCTGAATAAATTTCTGAGTGTGAACGAGCGCCTTGGCTCAGCTCTGGAGTCTCCACATTCCTCTTCCTGGCACCAATTAAATGTCAGATCTGGGAACTGTCCCATACAAGCTGACTCACTACAAACTGACAACTTCTGGCCTGTCAGAAAAGCAGAAACGCTGACAATTTGTGCCACACCAGGAGCACTGATCACCCTCCTGTGCCAGAGGGTGTCAGTACATCGCGGCTCCTCGAGGTGCGACCCGAGCTCAGCTCCTGCACTGCAGTCAGACTCTGTGTCATGGAGGAACGAGCACTAATGGAGGCTCTACAGCTGCTCCTTCATTCTCCTGCTCAGCTCAGACTCTCATAGTGCCCTACTTTGTGAGATATATAATATATTTAAATATATTTATATTTGAGCTTCATTTCCCAGCTCAGCGTTACAGCAAAGCCAGTGATGGAATTGAAGAAAACGTCTCTCTCACCTTTGCTATCATTACTCAAATGGTTGGTAGCCTAAAAATAACACATGCTCATTAAGATCCTACATGAACCTGCATGCAATTGTCATGCTTAGATATGAAATTGTATTTTCCTTGAAGATCACTCCCAAGGGGCACAATCTCCTGACAACCCTTCTGAACATATAGTGTTGCTCTTCTTCTTGATCAAAAATACACGTTTCACACACAAGTGTATCTCCTTTTTTTCCATCCTTTAAAGCATGTATGCTCTCATTTTTAAAAGAATAAATCAAGAGTACTTCCCTGGCTGGCTCACCAGGATTTTAACACTGAATTATAGTAATTTGCAGCTAACCCCAGCATAAACCCTTCCTCTGATTTTACTGTTAACAACTCTGCTGGTGTGACCTTTTTCACAACAGGCAGCAGACCAATGAGTAATAGCCACTCATCCCACTTTCCCTTGGAGAGATTAAAGACTGGATATGAGGCAGGTGGAGTTTGGAAAGCTCATTAGAAAGTACATGAAGTTTAATCAGACTTTGATTAGAAGCCAGAATGGAGAAAGGAGTGACTCAGGTCTCCCACATGGCTAATATGTCTCTTATTTTGTTATAGTCTTTTGGAACAAGCCAATTAAACATGTGCATAATTGAGAAATCACTGGTCTAAAGGATGTAGAGTAACACCAGGAATGAAGAGTACTTGCTGCAATTGACAGAATTGACTAATTCTTGGAAAAACAGACTGGCATCTAAGTTTAAACCCACAAAATGTTTCTCACAGTCCTTTGTCTGTTTGCTGGGGGAGAGATTACATTGAAAGAGTCCCGAGGAGAAATAAAGTCATGCTGTGGTGCACTAAGGAGGGTATGTCCAGCTTTTCTTACCCGATGGCTTTGCTCAACTCACCGTAAACACCCGCTCCGGCTCGCCCTTGGCCCGCATGTTGGTGTCATGGACTTGCTTGAGAATCATCCAAGCTTCATCATGTTTGCCAATCTGAAAACACCAAAGTGAAGGAAATAAAGTGTTCAAGCTCCCAGCTCTGTAATTTATCAAAGCACAGTGAGAAAGCAATTCTAGAGAAGCATACAGACAGCCGGGGCTGCATGAAACTCAAAGAGCTGAAGGCATGGTTGGTATTCACAGAGTGCAGCATCTCTGTGCTGGAGAAAGAAATTGTCCTAAAACTGCCTGAGGCAGAAAAGGGGCCAGGGATAGAGCTTTAAAAACAGATGAAAGAAGAGAAGATGGATGAGGAGAACTGGACTCTCATCCCAACTCTGCTAAAGACTTGCAGGCTTGAACTATGTATTGCTACATTTCCCACCTGTGAAGTAGAGATACAGAAACTTGCTTAAGATTTCTGAGGTTTAAGTGTTTTACTCAGTGAAATGTATACTTTACCCTTTGCTCTACCACCAGGATTCAGCAGTTCCACGCCCAAACTCTGTGAGATGTTTTCAAAGTGCCTTTGTTGGACAGATAAAATTCCCACCTCTCCCTACCTTCCTTCTGTACCCCATCTGGCAGTGACACACTAATGATCCGTGACTGACCCCACAGTCTGCAATCTTTGGGGTTCAAGCAGTCTGTGGAGCTGGTGTAGACACACAGGAGTGGCTTTGCCTCTGAGCTTGTGCTCTGTGTGTTTGATGGGACAAAGAAAGACAGACAGTGACACATTAGGGACCTGCCATCCTCTGCAGATATCAGAGATGAATCATCTTACCTCCAGCAGAAACCGTGGGCTTTCAGGCATGAATTTCAGTGCCACCAGGGAGGCGATACAGGGCAGAGCACACACGAGCACAAAGACTCTCCAGCTGTGGAAGTGGTACTTGGTTCCCATGCTGAACCCCCAGCCTGGAAACAGCAAGAGCCAACAAGTGAAAATACTGACCAGGAGTTCTGAGTTTTTCTCTGCTCATGCAGCTCAGAACTTTGCAGCTCTGTATGACAAGAGGACAGGTTGAAAGTTTGTTATTCTTAGTACTGGTGGCTCTTGGAGGCTGGATAGCATGCTCAGTAGATAGCAGCAAGTTCATGTTCATTGTAGAAACTGGAGCATGCTCAGGCTCTGCCTTTTAAAAACCTTCTTTTATCTTTGAGTTTAGAAATCACCTAGTGATAGGACAGCTCAGAGCAGCTGTAGGCAAGTAAGGCTGGGAAATGGTACAGGAATAAGGGCCATAATTGATTGCTTCTCAGTGGTGTTAGTGAAAATTTACAAAGGTTAAATCTCTGATCTGAGAAGCACAGTAGAGACAGCTTCTTTCCATCTCCTACATCACATATGTATTTCACATTTCATGGAAGTGAGCAAGAAAAGCAAGTTTAGTTTTTTCCAGACCTACAAAACCTGAGCTGGGGTTCAAAATTAAAACATCAAAATCTTAATCCTGCATTTGAGATACCTTTCTCCTGCTTTTTTCCTGGTGTTTGACCAAGTTAGGTATTCCCCTGCTAAGCTGGAAAGTACAGCCTCATTCTCTTACATTGCTCCATGCTCTCTCCCTAGGCTCAAATCTCATAAGGAGTGTTTAAATAATCTTTTTTCTATTAAAAAATGTATTCACATAATAAGGGAATCATCAAGCAATGCGTTTTGCAGAGGTCTCATTTGAGCCAGTTATGGTGTTCTAATGATTTCACAAAGTTCCAAAAGAGTAGGTGGAACACTGGAAATCAAAAAAGAAGCTACAAAAACACAATATCAAAAAGTCATCTGAAAAATAATTGTAATGTAAATAACTAAAAGCTTTTAAAAGCAAATGTTGTTGCAGTTAAAAGAATTATTTCTACCTGAAACCACTGCAGTAAGTTTTCCTATTTCTTCCAACAGTCTCTGTCATGTCAATCAAAAGCATGAATATTTCTTTATACTGAGAGTGCTTTAAATGTGCTAAAAATGAAATGATGGATAGGTAAATGTTAGTGGTTTCCTTTGTGGGTTTTGTGAACTGTCCTACTTTCCTCAAACAGGATTTTGCAAACAGCTGGTGTCACTGAATACTGGGGGAATTAATCTTTTCCAGTAGATATTTGCTTCTGGTGTTTTCCTAGGTTATATACACAAGTTACAAGGAATTCCATGTGAAATGCAGACTTTTGCTTTCCAGAGCACAAGTAAATTTCACTTTACAGCCATCTACTTTTTCATTCCCACTTCCAACTGAGGGTAGGGAACCCATTCCACTCCTGCATCCATTTAGGTGAAGTTGGAAGTGACTTCAGCCCATCACATGCTGGGCAGGTGTGCCACCAGGTACACAGCCCTGGCAGTGTGGACACTTTGCTGAGGGAAAGCACATGTGCTGTCCTCACTGCTGTCATTCTCAGCATCCGGTAATTCCCTGATTAAAGGATAACTGGATCAATTTTTGCCATATAATCTCAGTCAATTGTTTCCCCGAATGAGCTGACATTTAGATTAAGGGCTCAGGCTCCAGCAGTGTAATTTAAGGGATGCATTTGAGGCTTTAGATGGAAAGCAACCCCATTCAGTCCTGTCTACAGCCTTAGTATCCATCAGTCAATCGTGCAGTCAATTTATGAGACCTTTTGTGAGCACTTCAGGTATCTATTATTTCAGTGATATTTATGCTGGGATGTGTAAGAACTGTCATTACCTGTGCAAGTGTTTGGGGTGGTGTAGTGGTGTAGGAATGTGGTGGTGTAGAAAATCAAAATCACAAATTACCATAATGTGGGATGATGCTCCAAGCCATTGCTGAGGCATAAATGCCACCAATCATCCAGAACATGCAGAGCCAGCTCAGGTGTTCCCCTCTCTTCTCACGAGACAGGAATTCAGAGAAATAGGCAAACACGATGGGGAGGGTGCCCCCAATACTGAGGAGAAAAAACAGCACATGAGAAAAACGAGAGTCTGCTTCAATGTCTTTGTGGTTAGGATTGCATGTTTAATGAGAGAAGGTCACACTCATAGATGGGCTGCTCAGAAGTGAGACTTGGAGGAAAAATGAAAGTCTCTCTTTGGCTGGACTGGTCTTAGACATCAAAGATGAACAAGGTCCTTCTCGTGCTCTAAAAGCTGAGTTTCCTGTAGTTTGTACAAACCCAGAGTAATACCCTGCTCTTCTCTTAATCATCTCCTCTTGTTATTTCATGATCACACATTTTAGGGAGGCAAAATATAGGCAGCCAGTGGGAACTGCTGAGGATCTCATTGGAAACCTTGGAGGTGGGTATTTTTCAGTCTCACCTACATTTCTGCACAATTTGGGCAGTATTAGAACACCAAACTTTCCCACCATTAGAGCTCTAAGGGTCAAGAGTGAGGTAACACAGCCATACATCCTAAATGGCAATGCCATCCCATCTGGGCACCAGGGATGCATCTCCTGAGCACCTTTCCTTGTCCCACCCCACACTGCCCAGCTGTGCTGGGGCTCCCCCAGGCCAGATTCACCAGGTACCCACCCGAGGCCTGAGATAAGGCGGCAGAAGAGGAAGAATCCATAACCCTGGACGAAGGAGGAGAGGAACGCAAAGGCAGCATTGATTGCGAGTGATATGATGAGGCATTGCTTTCTTCCCAGTTTGTCAGCAAGGCCGCCCAGCAAGACAGCCCCCACCATCATTCCTAAGTAGACTATCAAGCCTGGAAGGGAGAGAGACAGTCAGCTTGTTAACAGGGTGGAAATAGCACACAGTGTAGAAGCAGATTTGAAAGTGCCCATGTGGCAGCTGATGTTGTTCTGGCATATTGTGCAATGAAGTAGAGATACTGCTAACCACTCCAAATCTCAGACACCAGAAACTTTTCCCATTGGCAGGGCAATAATTTTCCATCTCGTGCCTGAGAGCTTGTATCACTTCAGGCAATATGGACATACCCTCATTTGACCAGACCCACATCTTTCCTTCCCAGCCTCACTGCTCACATGTCCCCTGCACGTAAGCAATGGTCAGGCATAAGCAGCTTAGGATGCACGTGTCCCAGCTATGTGCCACCGACAATACAACAGAAGTCTGATGTCTTAACTCCTCTGACCCCCCTGAGTGCAGTGGGGTGGAGGATGTGTAGGGAGAGGCTCTGTCAGGCTGCTGTTTATGTTCAGAAAGCTGTGAGAGCAGAGACTGATGAAGCGCGGCTAAATCTCTTTGCAGTGTTTCATCTCTTTCACTCTCTGCTTTTCCCAGCTGTATCTGAAAGGATCAGTCTGTTACCCAGACTCACCTCGAGTAGCTCAGCTACTTCCTTTGCTACTGAGCCAAGATCTGGTGTCTAACTAAAGGACAGCTTACTCAAGAGTGCAGTCTTGATCTGAAAATTTCAGGAGAAGGGAGAATCTAAGGCTTGTGTAGAGTTATCTCTCTAACATTGTTGAGAAAGATGGATTCTTCTTTTTAACCCGACTTCACTAGATTTTCTACTTTGGGGTCCTCAAAAACAGTCTCAATAACTCATTTAGTGCCAGGCTGAATAGGAGAGAATGGGTTTCCACCTGGGCAGTCTCCCTGCACCCTGCTCAGTTTGTGCTTGCCACTCTCCTGGAGAACATGGCAGTTGTCCTTTGCTCTTCTACTGCCACTGCTGCAGGAGGGCCACAGATTTTATTGCCTTTTTTTAATGCAGGTACCAGTGTAAATAACACTAGTTCATAATGCTCAAAGGTTTAGGAATATATTTTTTCATTTATTTTATCTACTTTCCAGATATAGTTCAGATGAAATTGGTTGCAACCACAGCTTTTCCTGGGGAGCACAGAGGTACAAGAGGCTGCTCCCAGGAATACTCCAGCATCATATCAAACCCCATTGACAGGATTGTAGCCTGTGTCTATAGGCTCCACAGTCCTGCTGTGGAGATCCTGATGGGACCTGACCACCACTGGATGTGATCCAGATGAGCGGAGCTATATCAGGATGGAGAACATCTGCTTGCTGGAAAGCAGAACTTTCTGCAGGCAGTGCAGGGAGGTCTTGAAGGAAAGGGATGATGCTTGAGATGTTTGGAGACTGTGGACATGTCAAGTTCAAGACCCAGCTGAGCAGGGGTTGAAGGAAAGCAGCAGTGCTCCCTGCATCCCTGGCCCCAGGTGAAGGCATCAGATGCTGAGCAAGTAAATACACTGCCTTAACAGGAAACATTCCTATTCACTGATTGAAGAAATACAGCTAAAAGAAACATTTTTCAGGCATGGCTGACTCTTTGGAGGTTCATTCCTCACCTTGAACCAAGCTTGGCTTCTCTTGAGAGCCAATGCCTTCCCCAGGTTCTGTTCTGTCAAATACACTTTGAAAACAAGGTGGCAATGAATGTTTATATAATTTATTAATGTTTAAGCAAAACAATCAGTCTGGTGGCTGAAGGCAGCTCTGTGCCATCCAACTGAAGGCTAATGCAGAGTTATCTGGCAGCTGATCCTGTCTTCCTTTTGATTGCAAATGCCTGCACTTGATTTAAAATGCATTACTAAATTAAAAGCTATGCAGCAGAGACCCATTGCAGCATTTGAAGGACACTTGCATCACATTGATCAGATATGGAAAAGTTTGGATTTCTTAAATCTCTCTATTCCACAGTGGGGTCACCTATCTGTGAGTGATTCTTTTCAATCCACATAATGTCTGAAGGGCAGGATTTGTGTGCAAAAAAAATCTGTTCTTGTCTATTAAAAGCCTTTGTATCAGAACTGTGGAGCTGGATTTGGCCAATTATACCTCCACCATGAGCATGTGGCTCTGTGAAACCAATCCTTACACTCCCTGCCCTACCCTCCTGATCCAACCTGTCCTGCTGAGGAGACCTGAAGGTGTGTAAGACTTCATGTACTGATCTCAGGAGAACATACAAACACATCTCAGAGTATGAGATCTCTGTTTCTATTAACTTTGACTTCCAGCTTGTTCACTGAAGTGCAAATTACAAGGGTGAGCCAGCAAAAACAGTTTCAGTCCAAAAACTTCCTGAAGGAAGGATCTTAATGCAGTGCTGGATGGCTTAATGCTTTTACCCTGGCTCCTGAGCCACATTTAATGGAGCAGCTCTGATGGCAACCAGCAGAAGGAAGTGATGATAAGCCCTGTATCTACTCACTGGTACATCACAGTCATCCACCTGACAGTGAGCCCTGCCAGCACTGCCAGACCCTGGTGAGGAAGAAAAAATTATCTGCCAAACTTTTTTTTCTTTTTTTCTTTTTTCCCTATTTTTTTTTTTTTTCCCACTGAGAAAATCCCTGGATGGCAGATGTTCATCCAAATCCTCTTAGTAATGGAAAATGTCCCAGGTCAGGAGGAGGTGGAGGAGATTGTTACTGCCTTCTAGCTGGTGTTTTACTGCAGTCACTGGTGAGGGGCAGCCTGTTGTCTGGCCAGAGGGGTGAGCTTGGTATGGGATGTGGAAGTGCTTGAAACTTGACATCAAGTGGAGCTGCTTTTGTAAGCAAACCCCTGCAGATTCTGACTAAGGAGCCCAAACTTGGGATGGGAGGGAAGATTGGATGTTTGCAACACAGCATCCATCACACAGTGAGCAGACAAACCACAGGAGAGCTGTTAATGTCACAAACTCATCCACAGGGTGTTGCTTTAATTAGTTATCGCATATGATAAATCAATTGATGCATGGTCCCCCAGCAATTTAAAATAAAAATCTGTAAAAAAGGAAAGGGACAACCAGAGACTGTCTACTTAGCCAGGTTTTAAGGGAAGGATGCTGGTTATGGAAATAAGTGCTTCGGGGATGAAACAAAATCAACAGAACACTTCTTTATCATGGGGAGGTCTTTTTTTGGTGAAGACTGCATGTTCTGGCCAATGTAATTAAAATTTTGAGGTAGCTGCTATAGAACACTCTGTCAGCTGATGGATCTCAGGACCCAGGGTGCAGAACAACGTCTGCTTTGCAGATTGCTGTGCCCTGGATTGACAACAAGGTGGCAGGGACCCAGGGAGGAGCAGAATAGTCACTCAAACAGACTCTTTGTAGGGAGACAATCTTCCAGAGAACACAGTGATGGTTGCCACCTCTGAAAAAGATCCAGCTCATGTCAAGGAAACTAAAATTTTAAGGAGAGTTGGACCAAGAAAAGTGATCACAAAATGGCATTACTTTTGCTGGGCTAGTTCTGTCCATCAAATATTCTACAGTACAACATTACAGGGGTCTGCACCAGAGTCCTGACTTCTAACTTGGCTTCAAACCACACAGACTTAGACTGTGCTAGGAGGGATCAGCTTCCCAATTGACACATAAGGTGCTCAGATGAAATGTTAAGGGCAACTCTGAATAAGCCATTATTTGCAGGCTATTCCACAAGTCCTGGTGTATAATGAATGCCTGTGGGAAAGTCTGCAACAGCCTCCCATAAAATTGGTGGAAAACCAAAGAGCTGAAATTCTATGAATAAATTTTGGGTTATGACTCATCCATTGCTGAAGTTATAAGGAAAATATGTGACCACTGACTGGGCTTATTCCCACTAGAAAAGGGGTTACATATTTAGCATTTTCACACTAAGAAATTTATTAGCCTTTACTGAAATTGTGTGCTCTGTATTAGACAGGAATTTGAAGTTAATAGCTGAAGTTCTAGGAATAAGGAAAGGAATATACTGCAGATACAGTATATTCCTTATTATATTCCTTATATGGCTCTGGGTGTGCTAAACTGCATTTTTATTGCTTCAATATAGTGAAAAGTCCTATTCTAAGGATTTCAGAAAAAAAAAAAACAAAACAAAAACCAAACAAAAAATTCAAGATTTACCTAAATCTGCATCACAAGCATGAATTTTTCTTATTGTTAGTTAATGGGATTAAAGTCCTTAAAAAAGAGGCACATCTAGAAATAATCCTTTTAAAGACAGGACAAAGACTTGTGGAATAAATAGAAAATTTGAGCTATTTGAGCCAAATAGCTCGCTGAGAAGAATTAGTCCCAGAGTCCTTGGGGCTGTCAGGGAGGTAAGGAAGCTGCCTGGGTCCAGGGATGTCTCTGGCTTGTGTGGAGCCAGTAACCACAGGAATGGAAAGCTCCTACCTTACTTCCAATCCCAGGCCAACACCAGTACAGCCCTACAGTAAAAATAAAAGAGGCTCTTGAAGAGGGAAAGCATTTGGACAACAGAAAATTATTAGGACTTTTTATATCTTGTAGTCCAAATTGTAATTATAACAAAATTAAAATACTGTTACTGGTGTAGAATCTGTTAGGGATACACCTTATGGACACAAAGAAAACTTTGTGAGTCAGGTCTGGACAATCTGGGAGATGGATGTGGCAAGGCAGAAGATCCAATTGTAAGTAATTAAAAGAGAGAAATAAAGCCATGATAGTGCTGACTCTCTTGTACCATAGTGATGGGAAGGCCTTGACAGAGGATGAGCTGAAGGCTGGTGCTCTTTTTTTCTATTCTTCCTGCAATTTTCAATGTGCTCTTCCTTGTAGGTTTATTAATGTTTTCCCCATGAATCAACTTGACCTTTGAATGGAAGTCAAAGGAAAAGCTGATCCTGTTGCACTCTCCTTGTTGGTTAACACAAGCACTGAGACTCCTTCTGCAGCCAGAGAAGGGAATCTGCCATGGGAAAGGCAGCACTCCATTTTGGGAAATCTGTGTGTGGAAATTGGGCATATCTGGCTGCTGGGAT